CCCCAAAACCCCAAAACCCCAAAACCCCATAAGAATCAAAGTACATTTTAGTATATAATTAAATTAAATTTGGAATTGAAATGGATTTATCAAGTTTTTCGTTTAGCTTTGAAGACTCTTCTTCATTTATAAATAGTAGTCAAGACTAGTCGAATTCTACAAATGAGACATTGGAATCTTCCTCTATAAATAAGCCTCTTAAAACCCTATTCACTATAGAATAAGTGGAATAAGTAATGTTCTAGGAAAATATGATTAGAACATTGAATTTGAATATAAAATAAAACCAACAAAAAATATAGGAGATATCCCCATAGATAGATAAAATAGTACCTTTAATAGAGTTTAAATAAAAAGAAATCGAGAAGTAGAAGCTATAGATTTAGAAGTAGTCAGAAATGATATAAGCATTAAACTAGGCTCTAAGGGATCATGAGATAGAGTAAAAAAGAGATGAATATGAAAAGGAGAATAAGCTCAGGAGGCATTATTGCGTGAGATGCAAGGTATTAAAACATTGTGTTCATTGCTGCATAAGCTTCCTCGGCAAGAAAGCTATTGATGATTAGTTTTGCAATATTTGTAAGGAATATGGTCATAAAGATAGATGCTGCTAAAGAACATGGGCAAATATCAAGAAATAAAACTTTAGAAGAGTTTGTGTTGATGGGTGCTAGATACCTTAAGGGGAACTATGGACTAATTATGATGACCCAGAGTTCGATATTGAAACGAAAAGAATTTAAGACTCCTACGACTTAACAGAAAAACTAACCTAAATGAGCATTAGAGACAAAAACAAAAATTAAGTTAAGAAATTGAATTCAAAGATTATCAAAAAGCTTAAAGAAATCAATGAGGCCTATTACAATAAGTTATTGTTATGTCAGACTAGTCCAGACCCAGCTTAGATCTAATTCATATATTAGGGAATCAGCATGTATCTCACCCAATATCCTGAGCTGAGATTACACTTCACTTTACTAGAAACTAACCTCGAATTTAAATAGTAGATGATAAATATTCTCTAAAATACAAAAGGTGTTGGCTCTGTATATCTTGATCCCATAGATTAGAAATATAAAGCACTTTGGTTAAGTAAAGTAAAATTAGGTATGAGTACTTAATTTAGCAGTGAAAACAACGGCTAAGGATCAAGCAGCAATGGTGGCATAAGCAGTGGAGGTGCTGGTGTTGAATAGTTTAACATAGACAGCAGTGATGAGAACTATGTGAGCAACAGCAGTACTGGAGCTAGTGGCAATGCAGGTGGTAGCAGCAGACCCAGCAGTGAATGGGCTTTAAGAGACAACAAGGATATTAAGGCAGATGAAGTTCGAGTGTAGGAAGTTGCAGAAAGAGTCCAAGAACATTGGATTTACAAAAGAGAAAAGCACTTTAATTACTATTTCTACCTTGATTATTGATTCTTGATATGGAGGGATTATAGAGATATCGCAAAATGCTTTTGATTAAAATAATTCGATAAATATAAAAATATCATATTTTAATTAAGGTATTATATGCATATATCATATTGATGGGGTTTTGGGGTTTTGGGG